CGCAACGCCACCCCACGACGCAGTCACTTCTAGACGCTCGTGGATATGGTAACCAAACATAGTTTAGCCATTTGATCCGAGCGAAGACTTTTTTAAAACTTTTGCTCTTCTAGGCAAACGAATAATTTTTTTTTCTTCCTACCTTTAATTACAAAATGTATACTCACTCTTTTGATGAAAATCTATATCAATTCTACGATAACTTACTTTATACAGTTCATAAATGTGTCGTCTTTCGTAATAATGATAAAATTTAAGATAAAAAATTCATCGCAATACCGGTTTATAGTTGTTGCTATCGATTAAACTCGGTGTTAATTTGACAATCGAGAGATCTTTCACTTGTTACAGCAAGGCGCGATAGTCGACCCAAACGTAAAAATTAAAATCAAGCTTAATCGATATCGGCACCAATAAACTAATTCCAATATTCTTATTCTAAGCCTGTAGAGCTAGCTGGCAAGATATAAAACGATCCGGCTAAAATTATATTTATAAGAAAAAAAAAAAAAAAAAAAACCTTTAACATGTAATAGATCGCAATTTAAAATTTGAATAAAACCACATAGGCTAGCGCCGCCTTGCAAAACTAATTTTGATGAAGCAAACGACTTGCGTATCGCGAATTTAAAGAAATTTTGCGTTTCTCATAGATATTGGTTGTGAGTGAGATCGAAACAATTTACCTCAAATCCCATACAAGTTATTTTATTCACTTTAAGCCAAACATAAATTATTTTAAAATTTAATATATATATATATTTTTTTGTGCGAGAATTATTTTATACATTTGAGCAACATATAGAAAATTATTTATATTATCCTCTTCAATTGTAGTTAAAAATATATGTAGTATATGCATGTGCATATTATTTATATATGTATTGTGCAAAAGCATAATAAATGTTATGTATACGTCATGAATGTTTCGTGAAACACATGCTCATACGATTAGATGAAACGGCTGTACGGCTAAACACTATTCTGATGATTGACGAGATATTTTTTGAAAAATCACAATAGATCGGAGATGAGAGGGAAAAAATTTTTATGAAAACATTTAAAAATAGAATTTTGCTTAATTTTTATTACCAGCGCCGTAAGATGAGGTGTATATTCATTTTGTCAAAACGTGTGCAACGCCCAGACGGAAGCTTCCGAGACCCCATACGCGGGAACATACGTTCTTACTCAGCAGCTTGTTCTGAATCGATTTAAACATGCTTGTCTGCCCGTCCACAAAAATTAAGCTACCGTCTTTAAATTTGACGGAAAGGTTAGAAGTTAGATGTTGGTATTGAACCAAATCGGTCGAAAGACACGCCTACAGTACGTGAGAACACCTCTGTTTTTTCAAAAGAAATAAAAACCTACAGTAAGTAAATCAACTAAAGTGTAAACGTGTATTGTATGTAGACGAATGACGCTTTAATAGTGACCACGCCTACCCAATAACATTATAGTGTATCAAAATTTAATATTTTTTTGAAATACTTTTACAACGCGCTTCGAAACAAGCTTCGAAAATTTCATAAAGAGTATGAGTATGAGTCCGTCTGTTCTGGTGTCTGCGGTAAATATTTTCCCGATCGCGAAAAAAATATATATCGCCTAGAAGTTTGCAAAAGAATTTGAAAACGACCAAAACTGGTTAAAGGGCACGCCTATGCAACAAAAACTGAAAACACCTTTGCTTTCCGTGTTTGCACACGTAAAGTACAATACTTCGACCATACAAAACTTTAGTTTTATTCTGAGAATAGAGAAAATCTGGAGACTTTTTAGGATAACGGTGACGGGCATAAAAGATTGGCTCACAACCGAATATAATTTTCTTACTCATTTTCTTTTTTTTTATTATGTATTTATTAAAGAGACATCAACAAAAAATAAATATTATGCTGAAGAGCATAAAAAATTTTAAGCGGATACATATGCAATTTAGAAACGCATGCAAAAACACTTTAAGCACTTTACGGATAAGAAACTTTCGTTTCACGTCCATCTCATCCATATGTTAGAATATACGATACGAAATTAATGCAACAAATGAAATTTGAAAAAGCATTGAACAGATGTACAATAAATGTTTTTTCATCGTGAATACCAATTAATTAACAATTATGAAAATAAATAATTTTCATACCAGGGTTCATTATATAGACGCTAGTACAAAACGCAAAACAACAAGTACATATATCGAATCAGATGATCAGTTTATTGCATGCGGCATTGCCTCCGAAATTTCCAAGTTCTATAAGATACCTTAACCCATACTTTCCTGATTACTGCATCGGAAAAAGGACAAAAAAAAATATTCTTGATTTTGCTTTAGAAGGAAGAAAACATTAAAACAGATGGGGCTCTTTGAAAGTCGATCTGCATTATCGTCTTCCCGACGATTCCAATATTGATTAACTAACCAAACGTTCCAGTGTACTTCTGGTGGAGATTATGATATAAGACATAGCAATATCTAGAGAGAGAGAGAGAGAGAGAGAGAAATATGGCATCAATTCAACATAGCCATCTAAAGAATTACACTTATTACCCTATCGTTTGAAGCATTGTCTGGGCATTTCAGGACTCTTTGGATGAGAGGACGGGGCAATGCAATAACTCCGCAACTTATCTTCTATCTAATCTAATCCTCTAATGTGTGTAACTTCTGCTATCGCCTCTCGCATACTAGCGTATAAAAATAGAACTTCCTTCCCTAGCTGGCCCGATTTCAAAGAACGACAGCAATGATTATCGCATTCCCGATTTTCGATAGACACGAGTAGCGAGCCAAGCGGACGAAGCCAAATTACTCGATCATTTATTTACTTGGTTTCCAGTGAAACTTCACGAACTCGTTTAGAAAATACTTTTTAATACTTTCGAAGGACAAACTGTCCAAACTGATATAAAAGCCATATGCCAAGTCATCAGGGTATCGACATAACAGACGCGCTCGAGAGAGAGAGAGAGCGCATTGGTTTATCTTTGTAAATCTTTCGGTGGCCAGGCTGACGCCATTAACAATTGAAAACGGAGCTGTTATGGCTCAAATGAAAACACTATCGCGCATGATAGCCTACCATTAAATACCCTACAGCACTTCATCCAGTGTAGTTGCTCATGTACCGGCATTTCAAAGCAGAGCCTTCTATGAAAAATGGTCGAAAAAACGATCCGACCAGAGACAATAGCATTCAATAGAATTCAGCTTTGGACCAAAGCATGTCAATGTAGCAAATTTCATTAAAATATCTCAAAACTTACGTTGCACACAATATTAGAAGATGGACAAACGGACAGACATGCGTAAATCAAATCAGAAAATGATTCTGAATTTATTGGCATAAAGAAAAGTGAGTCGATCTCTCTCTCTCTCTCTCTCTCTCTCTCTCTCTAAAGTCCTTCTGGGCGATGTATACATCTGCACAAAACTTAACAGAGCCTTATACTACAACTGGTGTAGGGTACAAAAACTCTCTTATTTCAAGAGAATGAATGGGAAATAATTTTATTTAAAGTATTGTTCATCGATAGCCAAACAAATTTTCAATTTTCTTGATCGAATATGAATTTTGTGCCAACGGATTCGGCATGCTACGAATATTTCTCGAATGTATTGCGGCGCAATATGAGTTCGGACGTCGTCAAGCGTTCTGCATCATCCATCACAATTCTGGAGCAGTTTTCCTCGAATTGAACAAGACAAGCAACTTGTTTCACTTTGGCGTTTTGTTTTTTTTTTTTTTTTTGTTCGTTTTTCATACACACAACTTTACTTATGCAAACAAGTAATGAAATGAACAACAAACAAAGATACTGTATACACTTCAACAAGCTATACTATTGGATTTGGTACTTTCACATGCAACAGTTGACTTTTGAGAAATGCTTAAAGACAAGCATGGTATGGATGATATGTCTTAGGAAATCCGGTAAAGATTTGTTTGTGCAACTGTTAGAACTGTTAGTATATCTTTCTCAACCTACAAACCAGTCTCTAGTGGACTTAATAAATTATTTTAAATTCGAATGAATTACTTTTGATTATTACTTTTTGATCTCGCAAAGGACATTGGGGGAATGAATTCAGTTCCATTTGTTCGGAATGGAAATGAAAATTATAGTTTATTAAAGAAAATCTGCCCCCTTTCATGTGTTAACTGTAAGGCTTCTCCTAAATTGTAATTATATGATTAGATTTTGATAATTGCTGTCAGAAGCATGAATATGAAGGCTTCGTCTATCCGATAAATATGATAAATAACCGCAAATGTTCTACGAGCGAATTTCTATTTCTACGCCTGTACAAGTGAATTATTTTGATATAATATCAATAAACATATTTAAGAATAATGTGTAAATTTTCAGAAAATTTTACTCTCGCGTCTTCTTCATATGCATATATACATATATATATATATATATATATATATATATTAATGTGTGTGTGTGTGTGTGTGTGTGTGTGTGTGTGTGTGTGTATATGTTCTCCCTATTAGAAATTTCTGCAATTGTTTGTTTGTTTATTTTGACCAATTTCTGGGTAAAAAGAAAATTTTTCTTCTTTTGTTTTCTGCAGCAACAAAAAAAAATAAATAAATAAATAAAAGAATAATTAGAACAACTCACCTAATAATACTCGCATTCTCTTCGAAAATTTCTACGAAAATAAGACACAGAAAATTATTTTCGAAAATTCGCCCGAGATCACATCTAAGAAAAAAAAAATGTTGCCGCGCCACAGAAAAGTCAGCATAGGCCGAAACGGAGATATTCAGTTATGGTGGTGATTTCTTGAGTAGCGGTTCACTTTCAAGCGAAATACTATAGAAAAGTTTTCAAGAAATTCTATAATGCAAATAAAAATCAAATTATTTAAAGCGTTGCTCTATTGTTAATATTATTAAAAAAAAAAAAAAAAAAAAAAAAAAAAAAAAAAACAAACAAACAATAAAATTAAAATTTTACCAAAGTTTCTTGAATTAAATATGAATTTTTTCCAGAACAAAAAAAAAATAAATAAATAAAAGAAGAAATTTTAAAACGAATTTCTAAATTCTTACGTCATAGTTCATGCTTTATAATTGTGTACGTATGTGCATTTTTTTTTTTTTTTTCTTTGCCTTCTTTTTTTCGCCAATGCAATGTTTAAGAAATTCTTATTAGTTTTATATATAACTTTTTGTTTTTTTTTTTTTGTTTTTTATGATTTAAACGTAAAGCATAAAAAGTCATTTGGTATTTGTTTGTTCTAAGAAGTCTTGCGAATTTTATTTTTACTATCAAACAAAGAATGGCAATGCATTAATTTTCTCATTCCATCCGTATTGCAAATATATAACTCAATGGAGATCTCATAAAGTATACTTAGTGGAAATTGACGTGCGATTCTAATGGGATATAATTAAATGATCTGTATGTGCACTTATTGTCTGTCCAAAGTTTTTTCTTTTTTTTTTTTTTTTTTTTTTTTGTTATCATCTCGGGTATCCAAAATTCGGTCTACATACGCACTACATACAACTTTCTTAGCCGTTTATTGTTATTATTATATAAAAATTTATTGCAAAAGAACAACTGTCTAAGAGTAAGCGAATAAATAAAGAAAATTTTAATAAATTAAGAAAATTTTAGACAAAAAGAATCATTGTCAATTTAATATTTGAAAAAAAAAAGCATTTATTTCCACTTGAAAGAAATTCTAACTGTCGTCAACAATATGTATTATCTGATGGGCAATTGTTTGCAAATACATTTGTTGAGAAATTTAAAAAAATTTTTTTTTTATTTATAAAAAACATTCATAATTCACTTATATAAAAAATCTAATAAATATAAAATAAATTATGAAAACAAATCTAAATTAAATAAAATTTAAAAAAAACAAAAATGTTAAGAAATTCAATTATTTATAATACAAATATATTGACGAGGCCAGCTAAGTGCAATAATGTAAAATAATCACGTGAAGAGGCTCTAGTGAAGTCATGCCTCTTATCGTAAGCGTGTTTCCGGCTGGCCGCGTGAGGTAAACTTTCAAATATGACGATTGCAAATAAAGATGACCGATATACTGACGTGCCTATGATGATTGTGAAATCGAACTAAAATGTATATATATATATATATATATAAAAACTGCCTGTTGCGGATTGCGATTATCGGCGACTTACGCTCACCATCCAACCTTTTCGGTCGCAAACATATCCGTAACAATCCGACTTAATTACGAAATAATAAAAACAAATATAATGTGCATCTTTCTTCGCCTAGTTTTCTCTTGATTCGAGAATACATAATATTTTATTTTTTCAAAATTATGATCAGAAATAATCTTCCCTTCTTTCTTTTGGTCTGATCTATATTTCAACTGTTTGTCCGAATTTATGATATACATTTATAATTTGAATTAAAACCGTTTTTCTTCTTGAAAGAATTGTGATAAAAGCGAACTAAAACGTTTTTAAGAGCACATATGACGTCAACGACCTGCAGGGACGATATCGGCAAAGCCATTTTGCATAGATGTTATTTCAGTGCAACTGTGCTCATTGTGCTCATTAAACCTGCAATTGCTTTGCTTACCAGCTGGTTTGTTGAAATTGAAAGCCACTTCGATCACCATTCATTGTTTTATTTGTACGCGTTATGTTACTTTATTTTATCCAAGATTTGGAAACATCGTTAGGCATTTGTTTTTGAAGTGCGCTCAAAAGCAATCATTTATTTAAGAAGAAGAGGAAAAAACAATGGCATTTTCAGGAGGTGTAAACAATTTTTTTTTCTTTCTTCTTTTGTTTGGAAACGAATAAGTAAACGAATCTAATAATAATGCAATATAAGCAAATCGTACGATTTCTCGTACTATATAGTTAATCGATTAGAATTATTTTTGAATAGGCATTTTTGAATAGTTCTGATGATGCCATTAAAATAAATTTCATTATCATGCACGGCCATGGATTGATGGGTTTGTCGAACTATCTCGTTCGTAAACAGATCGTGCCCAATATTCAATTCTGCGGGAAGCTCGCCGTTTTTCTCGCAATTGTTGTGAACGGTAGAAACAATTAGCAACAAGCGGTAGACTTTGCTGAAATGATGTAAATTCTTAGATAAGTCGAACAACAAAATTTACAATGCCCCTGTGTTTCGTTAGCAAATTCCAATAATAAATTCAACATGAGGCAAATCAATTTTAAAATTTTCTTCTTAAAAAAATAAAATTAAATAAATATTAAAGCTTTGGTGAAATTTTTTTCTATAAAGATTGTAGAAATCAAAAAAAAAAATAAATAAATAAATAAATAAATAAATATGTCTTCAAAAATAAAAATTATTTAGCGTCAAGTAATTTCAAAGCCGAACGGGTATATAAGATAAACAAAAAAACAAAAGCCAAGCAACTGAAACGCCATCAATAATTCATTTAATAAAGTTTTTGTTTTCATCTTACATAAGAATCGGAAGTAAACGACAAGAAGATTTGCGTGTGCTCAACCAAAAAAACAAAAAAAAAAAAAAAAAAAAAAAAAAACAGAAAGAAAGAACACAACAATTAAGCAAAAATGGAAAACCTAGTGCTTACACTGTGAATATGCATCAAGTGAAATGCATAAATAATACATCAGTACAATACATACAGTAGTACAACAACAAACATTTTCGAAAAACTATAAACAATGATATGAATGAAATATAAAATATTTGGAAAACGCGTAAATAAAATTTCACAAAAATTAAACGTGAGCAGACAACGTCACATGAAATTATTATAAGCAACATTCTTTGATTGGAATTCGCGAACGCAAGCAAATTCTCTATAGAAGTGTTCATGTTCGCGTTCACTGTGATAAAGTGGCTAAAAATAATAACAACAAGAACAAAATTTTGCAAAACCGAGAGTAACGACACGGGCACGAAACGTAATGCTTGCATGTATTTAGCATAACCACAACTGTGTGTGTACACATAAAGAATTCTACATAATTATCGAACAATATTTGTTGCCTTTTTCCTTACGACTTTTAATAGAATATTTTTAAAAGGTTTTACTTTAAGTTGAAATTAATAAACACTTCCTGTTACTGTGTTACGTGTTAAATAAAATAAAATAAATAAATAAATAAATAAATAAATAAATAAATAGATAAACCAAAAATGCCTCTATATGCCGATTCGAACTATTATTACAGCGGCGGTAGCAGCCAATTGTTTTCGCCCTATTACTCCGGCTCAACTACAAGTGGAGCTTATGGTCCATATTCCTCGGTCTATAATCGCAACATTGGCAGCAGTTATGTAATCCCTTTAACTTCCCCATCAAGAACTTCGTCCTCTTATAGTTCACATGGCCTCAGCTCATTACGTTATCAACCAAAATTGTCAACAATAACGGAATCTTCGCCTTTAATGAGCTCATCACTGCATACAAATCTTATGCCTTTAACTCGCATACAATCGCCAAAATACACAACATACAGTACAGTACATAGTGCAGTACATAGCAGTAAATATATACCGCCAAGACCGATTCTAATAAATACCGCCGATATTGACGTGTCTTCGAATCGCTATCGCAAACGTAAACAAGAAGAGAGACAAGAAAGATTGAGACAAATAGAGGCAGAGACTCAATCGCCCACTTCTTCGATAAGGAGGCGGGAAGAAGATATTGAACCCAAGGAAACAACTTCTCCTAGTCCCATCGATATTAATGCAAGCAGTAGTAATGAAGAACCTTCACGTAAATCTCGTTCCACTATAAAACGTAATCGGGCTGTTGTCCGTCTGTCTACCATTCGATCACGTAGTAAAGAGCGTTCAAACTTAATCGCAAGCAACGTAAACAAAGCAGTTGTCTCATCAGAGCCTAATGAACAGAATTTTAAAGATCAAGCGAGCGTTGATGATTTATCGCCTAATCGAGAAGAAGGAAAACCGCTTGCCATACCTCCTGACAATCAGCCGGATATGCAAACTTTTAATATGCCAACATTTCATGATATTTGTGCGGACATTTCTTCCGATAAAATTGACGATGATCTTAATGCAGGTGAACTAAGAAGACGAGCTTCGATTATTTGCAGCCAAGACCAAGAGCTAATGAATGAATTGCAAAAAACGCCTTCAGGCTCTTTTCAAACGATTCATCTTGATAGACGGGATAGTCACGAGAGTACGGCAGAGGCAGGTTCAAAGCGGCAATCAACGAAGCGTGGATCTAAAAAAGGCAAGAAAATGCGACACAAAATAACTGCCATGGTTGAAGTCGAACACTCCTCCGCAATATCACTGTCATCGGACTTATCAACGAAAGAAAAAGAAAATGAAGAGAAGTTACTATCACCCAAATCAATATTAACGGCTAGTGTTGAATCGATGCAAGAAGATCAGAAAGCAAATGATCTGCAAATCTGCAAATTGACTAAAAAGAAAAGCGTAAAGAAACTGGGAAAAACTAAGACACAAGACATTAAGCAAGAGACAAAAAATTCCCCAACGAAAAAACTCATTGTGAGGAAGGATCCAAAACCGGAAGTATTCACTTTCGATAATAATGTCATAGAAAAAATCAAAAAAGAAGATGAAGAACCGCATAAAGTTGGATTAAGTGCGGAAGCAAAAAATGCGTCTCAGATTATTTCTGACAAAATATCAGAAAGATCTCTTGTGAGAGTGGAAGAGACCAAAAATTCAACAGATTCTAATCAAAGTAAAAAATCAGAAGCACCGTTAAAAGAGCCCGAGATACCTCAACTATCCACATCAAGTTACAAAAAATTATCATCTTCAATAGATTTAACTACTCCGTCATCGAAAATTGCCGTTTTGGAGAAATCGAAATCGTTTCCAAGCGAGCAAACGCAGCCGCCTGTAGCAACACCAAAGCCAATAAAGAAAACTATCAAAAAGAATGACAGTGACGAAGACTTTTGGGCACAGATTGGAACACGCGAAACTCTTTACATGACTAATCGAAAGAAAACTTTGGTTGAACATCAACGCCAAGAACCGAAAAGTCTCTTCGAGGAACAACAATTGGATATATGTGAGGAAAGGGTCAGTTCGTCTGAGACGGTCAAAAAAGAATCCGAAGCTTTAGCATTAATTTCAAAAGAAAAATTATTTAAAACAACGAAAACAAAAGAACAGTCAACCAATAAAAATAACCCGGAAGACAGTAGACTTAAGACTTTCGCTGAGAAAAAATCTCCAGTCGACGTCTTGCAGGTAATATCGAAAACGTCAAAGTTAGTTACAGAAGACAAAAAAGATGAGAAATCTACGCAGAGAAATCCTGCAGTCGAAACAAAAGCTCCGATTGAATCTCTAACGTCAGCGCTTAAAACCTGCGAATCTTCAAAGCCTAATTGTGAAACAATGAAGGGAAACGAGATTGAAAACATTATAAAGAAAGAAGACAAACAATGTAAAAGTTCAATAGGGAAAGATTCAGGAGCTTCGTGTTCGCTTTTAGATAAAAGTAAAGACATTGATAACGAAGCACCAATGCAGAAGATAGCTGCGACTTCTAAATCCTCACTGGAAGGAGAGCAGTCTAAGAGGATTTCGGTTGAACCACCGAACGCAACTCTTAAAGAGGACTTAACAGCTAAGACAGTATCGAGTCTGGATGCAAAAGAACAAATCTTAAAAGAGCCGAATCAGAAAAAAGCTTTCATCGAGAAAAAAATGTCTATACCTATAAGCAAAATGGATAACCAAACGAAGGCAATCAATAAGTCAGAGACTCCTCCACAAACTCCAAAGACTCCGACAAAAGCAGCAGAAATTGCAAAATCTCCTGTAAGCAAAACAACTTTACTGAAATCTCCGGAAACAAAAGATGCAAAGCAACAACAACAACAACAAGTAACAAGTAATAAAGACAGAGAAATTCTAAAAACTGAGACTTCAAAAGCTCCGTTGACTTCATCCAAAATTCCACAAATGCCTGATGCACTAAAACACTCGGAAGAACAACAACAATTCAAAATTGGAGAGACTTTACATCAAGTTGAGGATTCGAGATTGAAATCGCGTCAAGATGAAGTTAATGAAGTTAAGTCTATTGATTCGGTGGATTTCGTGAAAGAGTTTAAAACGTCGCTGGCTGAGCAAAAGGCTCAAAATGATAAATTGGATAAAACGAAAATGCCAGTAATTGCGAAAAGCAACCAAGAAGCAATTGTAAAGGCAAAAACTACTACGACGGCAACGACAACGACGCCAACAAAAATAACCGGGCAAGCAGCCAAGTCACCTGAACAACAAAAGCAACAACAACAATATGAAATAAATAACAAATGCCCATTAGCTGAAAGCAAAAACAATAACAAAGGGGAGACAACGATTAATAATAATGCTGCCATTGCAGAGAAAGAACAGTTGGCAAAAAAGAGCACTTCGCCGAAGGAAGCCACTACTAAAACTCATCAACCACCGACCACAAAACAACCGGAAACGCTAAATAAAAAATTAAAGGAAATCAATAAAACCGATTTGAAATTAACGGTTAATGGCACAGCCAATACAGCAACGATGCCGCCAAATAAGACAAAGGGGGCGGCGGGCAAGAAGACGGCCGCGCCGAATACATCACCGCTTAAAAGTAAAACGAAAATCTCACCCAGCGGCGTCATTAATGCCGATCAGTTTGTAACAAAGGCACCGAATAAGGCGGGTGTGTCACCACCGACCAAAAGTAAAATAGCAACGTCACGCACAACAACAGCCACATCTGATACAGTAATAATTGCACAACTGACGTCATTACCGGACAATTTAAAAACTACATTAACGACCTCGCCGGCTGCGATACCTGCAAGTGCAACCACAACTACAACTGCGGCAGCAACGACAACCGATAAAAGTGGCGTCAGCGACATCAACACAAGCGGTGGCAATAATTTATCAAAGTTCGCGACAGTATCGAATTTGGCACAGTGTTTACACGACGTCGACGCCGATCTCGAAGATTATATACCATCGTCTGCGGAAAATAGCGATTTTACCGACGACAGTGATTTCGATCTTTCCAGTGTAGACGGTTGTGAAAATTTAACAGCAAGCATGAAGAAAAAACTTAAAGAACGTCGTAAAAAAGAGAAACAAGCCCAACAGGTGCGTTTCGATCCGCAAAAGAAAGTGAAAATTGATACATCGCGTAAATTATATGTTAAAGAGGAAGCACCGCGTTATCCGTTAGTCGCGACGCCACGTCCATTATGGAAACGTGAGAAAATCGTTTATCCCGATGATGATGATGACGATGATAGTGACGATGAAAGTGATAGTGAAGAAAGCGGCTCCACTGAGGAGACGGAAACTAGTGATGAGTGTACTACATCAGAAGAATATGAAGATGAATTGCAAACGAATAATACGGCCGCTGATGATCCAAATAAATTGAATGCCTCCTCAATTATACGTATGAGCACTAGTAGCAATGATTCAGGTTTCGAAGGTGGCACCGCACCAGCCAGTCCCAAAAAAATGTTGGGTAAGCTTTGTAAATTATCAAAGAGAATCCCTTTGATGAAAATGAACAAGATGAACAAAAACGATGATCATTTTATTGAAAGTAAAGGCAGAAATCAAAAAAGATTTAATAACAGTCAGGCTGAGAGAAAGACAATGCGAGAGAGAGAGAGAGAGAGAAAGAGAGCGAGAGAGAGAGAGAGAAACATTTTGATTTGTTTTGATTTCAAATTTGAAATGTTTATCTTTACAGATCACATATCAATCACATATGTACACATATTTATATACCTATGCATCTAATATACATTCATATATATATATATATATATATATATATATATATTCTGTTTATTTCACTGCATTTATGGTATATTTTAATTTTCCTTAAAAATGATGAAATCAACCGAAAACACAACAGGCGTCTGCACGTCACTGTATACGCATATGTATTGGTATGCGCAGATATATGCATACATATATATATGTATGTATGTATAAAAAGAAAATATATATATACATATATATATATATATATATATATATATATATATATATATATATATAATGATATATATGCATGTATATGTACGCATTTGTGTACCGAAAGTGAATCGTTCGCTTTTAACTTTCATCAAAAGCATTGCTTTTCCCAAGAATTGCAATAAATAATAATTTTCGCAGTTTATGCAACGAAATCCAATAAAATAAATTAATTACTTTAATGAAACGTTAACGTTAACGTTTCATTAATAAAATCGCATCCATCGATTTATCATCAAGATGATAAGATATAATGGCCGTATAACCTACTAAAAATCAATTAAAAAAGAAATGTCTTGTTGACAGACTTAATTATACTTAACTGAAAAATGCACTACTCGTGTGCATATACATTTTTTTAAAAATTCCTACTTTTCCGTAAACGATATTTTCGAATAAAAGTTCAATGACTTTTTTGTTGCACAATAAGATATGCAAACAGAGTTACAACAATTTGAATCGTGTAAACATATCACATAATCCACATATATACATATATACATATATATGTACATACATAAATATGAAATGCATTCGTTATCAAAAATGTATCTTCTCTACGGGAAGATGGCACAAATCATTTTTCATTACGTTTGCACCAACTAAACGTACACTCATCAAAATCTTCATAACATAAGCGAATTTTTTTCTCATTCATTCATCTTTCAGTTGAAATTGAAGGCGGGCGGAAAAAGAAAAAAACATTTTCAACAAAGTTTCACTAAGAATACATTTTCAAAAACTCATGTACAAAAGTAATTTGGATTCTACGATGAAAATCTTCACCGAAGCTAAAGAGAACTCTAAAATCGACAAATTTTTTACACTCATCATTGAACACTTTTTCCTTACACTGATGATGCGGACAAGTATGCATCAAGAATACAAAAAGTAAATATGTTTGCGCTTACTGGACATCGGTTCATGAAATTCCAAAAAAGATACGACTTTGGAAATCAATTCTGGTACTTATGCGTTCGGCATTGAATTACCAGAGAGAAATCTTAAGGAGCAGCCCCACACATCCATTCTTATAAACTCGCCCACAATAGCCGCAGAAACAAGATCAAAATTGGTCCCTTGCACTTCCTATATTAGTGGATTAGTATGCACGAGTTCCCGCATTCATATTTAAAAAGTTACCATGAATCGAATGATTTGGAAATGCATCTCTTGATCTATTTGAATTTGTTTCGTTAAGTAAAAATTACTATTTGATTGTATTCACACGCCCACAATTAATAAAAAACGCCACCTTCAGATCGTTCGCATTACTTGAAACTTTCACTTCAAACCTCCTACTCTTTTTTCATTAAGCTGATGCGCAATCAATTGCATTACGCGGTGCCGCATGAGTTCGTTTTCCTCATATATATATATATATACGTCGTGCTCCGATATATTCATAAAAATAAAAAAAAATAGAACGAACACATGTTCCCAAATAAATAACACATTAAATATAGCCCGCAATCTAATGTACGCATAATTTAAATTTTCAGTAGGATGTGAAAGGTAGGACGAGAAAAAAAAATGCATTTAAAGAAAATGGAAGAAAAAAAAAATGAAAATAAAAAAAGTGTTCTTAAATGCATTTTCTTAAAAATTTATTGTGAACGAACAGAATCATGAGTATCAGTAAATTGCATATAGCAACGCGGAAGCCAAGTGACGATCCCGCAAAAGCAAAAAATGCGTACATGCCTATGTAAGCGAATGCACTTGTGGGGGCGTTTTATTCTTGTACCTGCCTTATTACTGCTACGCAATGTGGAACAACGGTTATTTTTAAATGAAGCCCTCTTTTGAATTATTCTATTTTCATCAAAGCTTTTAAGTTTTCTTCGCTTTCCACTTTCATTTAATGTAAACTCATTTACAAGCAATTAATTATATTTCATTTAGTTTAAATTATTTAAAAGACAATTTTTCTTTATTCCCTCACACTCTTACGTTAAATAATATTTATACTTATACATTATTACATATACGCATTTAAGCGTAATTGAATTTAAGCGCAAGAATTAATAATTTTCACTCATAATTTTTTTTTTTCTTCTTACTACCGATAACGCCTTAAATAGTTTGCAAAGAAGAATATATATATATAAAGTGGTCGCAATACAAAGTCATTGTGAAAAGGAAAGGGTTACAACTTGTACTTAGCTAGAGATAGAAATTTTCGGGAGTACTACTGGCCCATACCAACAGAATGTACGATTTGTCATCAACGGCGATTACCTACTAACACAACCCTCCACGCATACATTTGTTCGACCAGTCTCCTCCGCGGTACCATCGTTACGTATTACTGCGTCTGGACTAGTTGCAGCTAGTACGTTCCCTTTGTATAATGGAATGGTCCATTGGTTTCCGTTTCCTCTTCTTTCCACTCAATTGTCCCTGTAACCGGCACCTTTGTCACAAAGCTGCTTACGACGCTGCAAGCTTCTGGTTTGCCGGTAATTCTCTGACCGATCTGACCGAGAACCGATCCCTGCGAACGCCTGCCATTATGTCGTGGAATACAATGCCGTTGTCACTATCTGCAAAGTAGCTCATCGCGAAGCTCATCGCACATGTCGGAGCTTTCATCGTAGCGGGAACCTTTCTAATGTCGCAATATTTTTTTTGCACCGCCGTTTCATAGTTCGCTTGCTATAACTTCAGCCGTGATATTAATCATCCGTTTATTTATTTTATTCTTCCCTGGCCACAATTACGGGTTCAGCCATATTAAAGAACTCTCCTAAGGGTTAAGTTTTTTAAATTCAGCTATTGTGGAGAAAGTCATTAAAGCACAGCAAACTTAGTAATTTTCAGTTTCAAAGTAGTAGTAGTAGTAGTAGTAGAAAGTTAGCATATTTTCACGCTTTAACTACTAGCAAAGTCTCAGCATAAAAACTGTGCCATTATCTATCGCATGTTGTATACGTTACACATAAAATAGTTACTTATAAGGTACGGTTTATCGCATTCAGATTCGAAACCGTGAACGCCGTCACAAGTCTATCTACAGCACTAAGCGACAAGTTTATTTGACATTTATAGTGGGCAGACCCGTTCTGAATCCGTTCCGCTGCTCCGAAAGAGCGGCTCTTTCCTTTGCTATTGCAAAGAGACGATTGTGTATAATCATCTCCGGCACCTTACCGATAGGAAAACCGTTTCATTGAGAGATTCACAAAAATATATGGACTGTCATAGGTAGTCATACGTGCTGGAGGTAGAAATGTTCGAAAGATACTGCTGGCCCGTACAAGCAGCAGGCACGATTCACAATCTATGACGCCTACACGTACTAAAATGCGTACAACCCCGCCCTCTTCCTCAACATATACACACCTATTCTATCACTTCGCCGGGAATGGTTCAACTTAGTGGTCTACCTTTCGACTCTCTTATTGGCTTCCACTTCTTTTTCTTTCCAGCTACCGTGTTGTTAAGCGTCGCATTTTTCGAAGCCCCTTTATTGCGCTGCAAACCTCAGTCAGACCAATGATATTGTTTAATGTGCCGCTCGGCTCCCGAACCGAGTGCAGCGAAATATTGTGTCTTTAGCATGCTCCCCCATATGAACTCGGCTTGGGTACATCTTGGGTGAACTGTCATGTCCGGATACTTGAGGAAATAACCGCGTCCGGTCAAAAACTACGTAAAGTTTTATTTATTTCTTCATGTGTTTTTTTCAATCCTTTTAATATACTTAGAATAAAAGCGAACGTCCACTTCCTTTTGCCGATCCTAAGCAAGAGAAGCCGTTCTTCGTTACTTATGGCGCTTGGGGAGTAGTTCTTCGCCTAGCCCCGGCTGATACGTCTCATCTCATCTACCAAAATATCGAATCGATTGCGTGTGTGCATGTAGACGTGTCAACCTATTTATGTATTTCTATATATTATAAAAGTCCCTACTTATAGGGAAAAATCTGTCATACATACGTGCTTAACTTTCTTACTATTGACTGTGCATATATTCACCTGAGTTCCCCAATCAAGTTACATTTTACTTTAAACTGTTATAGGAGTTTGCGAATTTTTTGAACCAAATTTTCAATCAATAAAATTTTATATTCAAAACTGCACATCCAAACATACGCAGACAAGCCGACAGATGGGCAGAGAAGCGGAGATCGCTAAGTAAACTTCAAATTTCTGGCTGCTAAAAACCAAAAGCCAAAAAACCAAAGCTAATATTTTATAAAATGAACTTATCAGAGATATCGTTATTTCATTCCCCGGAGACTTTACACATTTAGGTAAAGTTAAGATGATGATTTCAAAAATATTTCCATGAACTACAGCATATATTAAACTGAAGTTTAATAACAGCAATTGTAAGCAAACCGGAAACCTTTCGCTAAAATATTTCCTCTACTAGATCAGCTATTGGAACAGTGGATCTAAGAAGTAACAAAAGGTAAAAATCTTCATCCTCCTGAAACAACGGGAATGTTAAGTTTTCTGTCTTTAAGTTTTCTTTAGGTCATTTGCAGCGAAAATCCTTTCCTTGTTGAAATCTACGTTCTTGAGACCTCTCTCTCAAAGCCGATAATCGTTTTTTACCTTTTTATTTTTATCTATTAAATATTCCCTCTTTCTTACTATCGTTACTTAATCTCCATTGTATTTTGCAGTAAATTTTCGTTATTTGTTAAATGTGTTATGAATTTGAAAGATGGCTTTGTAATCGATACAAATTTAATTAGAAATATGCATCGCTATCTTAGATGAGAATTAAGCAACGTTCAATTCAATGGGAACCCAATCAGAGAGAAAGCATTGTTCGCTTTCTTGTCGCCCAGTTGTCTGTCCTGTCCTTGGTCCTGTTGGTCATAAAAATGAAGAAGAAAATTTGAAATTTCGAAAAAGGAGTTGAGGTCTTCACAAAAACTCATCCGCATGAAAATATTTTTGCGAACAAGTTCCGTTCGAATATACAACTTAAGCTCCCTACAAAATATCCGATATACTTATTGCTATATTTTTTTTGTTTTTACTTAAGGAAAATATTTAAAGATCAACTATTATGTAAACTATTACGAGGTAAAAGAGAGATTGCAAGCAGTTCTGTAGGCTACTGAATAAAACTGTGACTTGTTGGCGAACGTACTAACATTACGGCATACGCAAATGTGTATGAACACAACATAGTTTCTTGGCGCTTTAAATGGATCTAGACCGAAAACAAAAAAACCCCGTTTGGGCGAAACTTTGCTTCTTTTGCTTCGTTCGAAGCTAAATATTGACCAATGGTGGATAGTTGTGCAATTTGGGCAAAAAATGGGCGCATTATGCTTATAAAAAAAAGAAAATGTGTACCGTTAACGACAATTATCAGCTTGATAGCAGCCGGGTCCGAATTAAACGATGGGGTTACCTGTACGTCTGATTGTGTAATAAATTTTAGAAAAGCGACAAAAATACAAAAATACTTTGTACATATGTACAAAGACTTTGTGTACGGTATCACTATAGTGATATATCAAATTCTTTACAGGTATGTAAATATGAAACCGGAATTTTTGCATCACAAAATGCACGTTTATTGTATGAAAATAATAAAAGAAAATATTTTCTACAAAGAATTTCGTTTTTTTCACCTGTCTGACAATGTTTTGTTGCGAAACCAAAAAAAAAACCACTCATCGACCCACACATTTCTCTACATTTGCGCAAAAGGGAGCCCGCGACGCAAAGCGGTCAATAGGGACAACTCGGGCTTGATAAGTAAGCCGCATTGGCTATCACCCGCCCAATTAAGTTCTTCCCACATATAGCAAATCTCGTTTTGCTGTATGGATGGATGGACGGACATCATATAAACGAAATGATCTTGTATTGCGTCTTTTGATATTTTCTGTGAATAGCGAACAACTTAAAGCAATTATTTTTTATTGATAGCGTTTGATACCTTTAAGAGCTGATAACACGCCAAACCCTTCTAGTCTCACCAAGCGTAGGGAGAATATCTTCATATCCCCTACCAAATTCCCCGATTCAATGTCATAGTCAATGTGAATAATACGCCAAGATTTTTGCATTACGATACACATTGCTATTGCGGTTATTTACTGGGCTGGTATTAATAGAAAACTGAGAATGTATACCTTCTACACGTCGCATTAAATTCATCTATGGGCAATTTCTATTCAAAATTCCACCAAGTCAGTGTATAATCCGGATTATAATTGTGACAAACACCAGCAATTCCTTAACTAATCGACTTGAGAGAGCTTTCGGTAGAAGATTTCAGTAATTTTGTATTTCGTAAGCGTATGTATGTATGTATGTATGTATTTAAATATTCAGTATATTAAATGTATGGATATCACGTAATCACACGTAAAGATTAGTAGAGTAAATGCAATTTTTTTTTGATATATGAAAATACGTTTCATGCTTGTATTTTCTAAAAGGAGAATAAAAAATTTTTTTTTTGAAAATTTTTGATAAAATTTCAAAGAATTACGAATAAATAAATATTCTTTGATTGGGAAAATTGATTCAAAAAATCAAAATCTTCGATATCTTTTGATCTATCGTACACGATATTCATACAACAATTAAAACCATATCTTATACAATTGTACAATTATTCATAAAACGACTATTCCAATATAGGGTTTTTTATGGGAGGCGGTCGACAAAAACAATCCGAACTAAATTATTTTGCATAGCATTCATTCATTCTTGCATCCAGGATAATGCAAACATGTCATGGTTTAAATATAAAGAAAAAAAAAAAACAAGATGCCGAACGGACGGAGAGATAAGCTTAGATCGATACAATAAAATGTGAATCTATGTTAAGTCCTCCCGGGTATTGCATACATTCATATAAGCATAACACACTCACGTACCGCAAGCTGTATAGGATGAACTCTACAAAAAAATAATAAAAAAAATACTCATTAAATGTTCATTTTGTACAAAGGCAAAGGAAGCAAATTAAGCAAATAAAAATATGTAATTAAATCGTTTAATTTATTTTAGAAGAAATTTTATTTACTAAACAAACAAATTGAAAAACAAGCAAAAAAAAATGAAGTATTTTTATACATTAATTAGTGAATCGAAGAAACGTGAATGTTTTCTAATGGGTCAGTGATTTCGCTTAATAGCGATCGTAATGTAAATGAAAAACTTAGTCTCAATGTTTACTTTTATGGCCTTCATTAGCGATTAGATTTTACAAAATTAGAAAATAAAATCCAGAAAAAAGGCAAAGAAGAAGCAAAAAACAAATGCTATTGCAAGCGAATTCTGCTTAAAATAACCAACGTTAACAAATATTTGTGATACGTAATTAAAAAATAAAAAAAAAAAAAAAAAAAAAAAAAAAAAAAAAAACTACACAATAAAGAACACGCTTATATATTTTAATTTTATTGTATATGTATATGTTTGACTTAAATATACATATATATATATATATATATATATATATATATATAAAAACGTCACGAACATTTTTGCCCAAGGCGAAGTAGCTCCTACCGTAGCACTTGCCATCAATTGATTAAACAATTAAATCACAAACAAAAAGAAAAAAAAAAATTATAAATAGGTTATCGAATAAATAGAACGGCATAGAACATCTCTATACCCAACGACGTAGGTGGTTATGTCATTGCATTTGCAATACCCATCAACAAAGCGGTTAGATATTCGTAATCGACGTTTAATCGATTAATCAATCTTATCCGTCCTATTCAATTCACCTATTCGTTTGTTGTCTGCGTCGTTAGCACTCGCGGCACTTGGCCAATATGTCTTTTGTTTCATTTCCGAGATCAGGTTTAAAAAGCCCACTGAACATAAGCGGGTTGTTGAGCTTTCAAAAAAAAAACAAAAAAAAAAAAAAAAATTAAAAAATAGGAAAAAATTATTTTAAAATATAATTCTCATCCGATCAGGGTGATTAAGTCATTTTAGACAAGGACTTACATCATTTCCAAAGTTTCCAAAAATTGTCTTAGACAAGAAACTAACAGTATTTGAAAATTTTATACACATTATTATATAGTTGTGCTGATAGGTAGGTATCTAGGATTCGCCTTAATATGATAACAATTTTTATACCTGTCCCCCTATATGCATACAAACATAAGTGGTTATATAAAAAAGCTGTCGAGTCAACAACAGCGAGAGATTAAGAATACAAAAATTCAATTAATTCATGATAAATGTGTTATTAAAAGTATATTAACAAAAAATAAACAAAACAAAAACAAAAAAGAAGAAAAATTATTTGGTGTTTTTTTTTTTGCAACAATTAATTTTTCGTTTGATTTTCTCGATAAATTTTTACTTATTGATAACGTAACTAACATATGTCCTCGCAAACATTCTCATTCATTTTCCAGAGTGTGACGTTAATTGTCATAAAAAATGTGAACGTCTTACGGCCAACTTGTGTGGCGTCAATCAAAAATTAATTGTCGAAGCACTAGCTTCGGTTAAAAGAGGTAATAAGGTCACATTGAATGTAAAAAGACAATGAACGCTTATGCGAAAATATTTTAGCAATCGCTGAACATCACATGATTTACTTAGCGACGGAAACGCGCGTATAGTACTCTCTAGACAATTAATAGAATAATTAATCATGTAAAGGAAAAGAAACGTGATGTTTAGGGAATGCTGGCATATGTGCCGTTGCGGCTAACAAATGGTTTTATTTTTTTAAAAGAAACGCAAAATCAACTTAAAAAAGAAAAAAAGAAAAAAAGAAAAACCGAAAACATTTTTTTTTGAATTTGAAACAAAATTTTCAGCAAAAAGTTAACTATTGCATATTCTAAAAAGTATTGAGCCACTTTCTCCCCAAATAAATAAATCTATAACTTGCAATAGATTAGCAAGTACGTCATTCGACAGCTGTCTGAGCTGTTTGAGGGCTGTTTGAGATAAGCCACAACTATTAGAATTCTCAATAGGTCAATAAAAATGTTCTTCTTCCATACGATCATATATATATAATTTCGACAAGAGGTCGAATGATTCATCAAGCCTTTAGTATTTTTGCTTTTTTTACGGGGCCGATGTCAAAACCAACCTCCAAATGCTCGGTTCGGCTGTTCGGCGGTTCCATTCGAAAATTTCGATCATCAAAGTCTTCCCTGAAGAGGGTTAGGTAATTAGTTAAAGAAAAATTACAGTTTACTTAGCAAACCGGTATTTAAGCACAAAAAATCACGAAACAGTTAAACATACAACAGACGGGAAACAACCGTAGATCGTTTATAGAAAAGCGGCTAAAGAATGCTGCAGAGTCAGAAGAGTCGGAAAGACGTCATTACATTTAATTTTTTTTTGCAGTTGACTAAAAAGGCTCTTTCTGATGTTTGCCAATACAAGATTATGAGAAACGATGAAAAACACTGCAGGGGCACGAAGTGCGCCATTAAAGGCTCTACACCTCTAGTAAAAATGTTAGTAACACCAAGTAGAAACCGTAGTATTTATGAGCTGCTGCATAATCAAGTTAAGAAGCGCGACTGTTATGTTTGCATTAGTGGGCTCTCAATCTTTAGTACCGTAGACACAGACCTTAATTACGATAGGTGTACGACTGTAGATTTAATGAATACTTGGCGCTTTTTGATCGAGCTTACGCACCAGTCATGCTGCAGCCGCTCGCCATACCCTTTTTCAATATTTCTTTATGACCATCACTTTGCTATACATATATTAGACATATCCTGAGTGATTGGTCTCCTTAGAAAAAAAAAAAATCAAGTCCACCCTAATGTTCAGGTAGATTATGCTGCTTAAAGAAGCGATCTATTGCGTTGATAAACCCTATGTTAGAGCAACTGTACTTCGTGGCTTCAGAATAGAAAAAGTGAATGAAATTTTTTTTTATTATTGAAAATTTGATAAACATTTCCTAGTTTTTAAAAATTTTTGTAAAAAATTTTAAAAGTAATTCTCCAAAAAATTGCAAAAGTTCATTTTCGCTTTATTCGTAAAAATTTCCGATACGAATATTGTATAGAAATCGATTAGATATCTATTTTCAGAGAAACGAAAAATTTATCTTTAATAATATTTCGTAAAAACCTTTCGTTCTCTAATTATATTTTATGAAAATTTTCATAAAAAATCCCTTCTTCATGTTTTCCATAAAAGTATTCATCACTTTTTTTTTACATAGATTTGAAAAAGTTTTCACACTTACAGGCAAAAAAATTATATTTATATCACAAATAAATAAAAAAAATTTTTAAATATTTCCCAAAAAAGAAAAAAATTTCAAGTTTTATAAAAAAAATGGAAAAAACAACTTTAACTTTATATAAAAAAAACTTATTACATAAAAATTTAAATTAAAAATTTTAAAAGTTTCATTCGAAATTTTAATATAGATATTTTTTTTTATAAATCAATTTTTAACAAATTTTTAATTTTACATAAAATTTTTATAAAATTTTTACATTTAAAATAATTTTTATCTCAAAAAGAAAATGTTATAACAAATACAAAATTGTTATATAAAAAATTTTTTATATATGCAATTTTTTTATATAAATTTATAATTTTTTTAAAATTGATTTATACCAAATATTTTTATATAAAATGTCTGTGTACAAATTATCCGCAATGAATATTTATTTTTTTTTTGCAAAATATTTACAAAATATTTCTATATAAAATAATTTCATAAATATTTTCGAAAAAAGAAAAATTCTATGAAAATTATTTAAAAAAAAAAAAAAAGTATTTTTTTTCTTTCGATAAAATTTTTTCTAAATTAAGTTGAGTGTAAATGACGTTTCTTTTGAATCAATACTATCCGCCCCTGCATATGTACATATGTGCAGTTTTTCTAAATATACCTAAATTGTTTTTTATAAATTATTGAACAGGTGCTCGCGACACGAGAGAGTCACCCAGTACACCGCCCAGTTCAAATCCCGCTTATAAAATCGAAACAAATGAAGAACAAGATGGTAGGTTATAAACAAGAAAAGATACGAGAGACTATATATATAAAAATGATCATCAATTTTGTTTTTTATCCAATAACATCCTATCTATCTATATATTATTATATATGCAATATAATTCGCATCTGTTCATCTATAGTATTTTTATTATTATTATTATTATTATTATAATTATTATTTAGAAACCTCATATACATACGCACAATTCCAAAAATCTGGACGTTTTACAGCACCAGCCACAATAATACCTAGATTTAAGAATTATTCAGTTGAAGATTTCCATTTCTTAGCCGTCCTGGGCAAAGGAAGTTTCGGTAAAGTAAGTTTTATATCGGATAGGAGGAATATCCCTTTACATATATATGTGTATGTATTCAAATTATCATAAATTTTATCGATTAAGGTACTTTTGGCTGAATTACGTGATACTACATATTATTATGCAGTAAAATGCTTAAAAAAGGATGTTGTACTCGAAGATGACGATGTTGATTCAACATTGATAGAGCGTAAAGTGTTGGCCTTGGGTACAAAGCATCCGTATTTGTGTCACCTGTTTTGTACATTTCAAACAGAGGTAAGTGAGTGACTGAGCGCGCATAAAGCGATAGCATCGTTTAATTTTTCGCTAACGATCATTTATCAAAACTAAAGAGACTAAAACAACAAAAACAACGAATAACAAAACAAAAACACGTACTTATACTAAATATAAATAGATCTGCAAGAACAAAAAAAATAAATAAAAATAAAAATAAATAAATAAATAAATAAATAAATATATTTTCTGTGGATTATTTACAACAGTGATTTATGTGACTCGATTACGATTTTTTTTTCGTCTCGTTTGAAATGTGTTTCAAACGTTTTATATTTAAAAATAAATAAAATATTTGTGATTAATGTTTTATTTATTTTAATTGCCTAAAAATACTCTTTCGTACCCACCACCAAGCCGATCAATCATGATTATAAAAAGAAAAGTAACAGATCGAATCTTGAATGCGACAACTAACGGACTCTTCTTAACTACTACTGTCTGCCTGTTATTACAAGAAAACAAGTTGAGATTGATTGATAGATATTTCTCTTGAAAGTTATCAGTTATCGAATTATTGAAATTCTCAGGGCATTCCATTAAACATAGCAATCAAAAAATGGATGTGCGGAGTCGCAAATAAAAAGCATAGAAGAGCGATGCATATAAAACCTTGCACATCTTTAAATAAAATGACATTCGTCTAAAAACATAGTTAGGCAGGCCGTCCATTACATGTTATGTGTACTTTTGCTTTGTACACCTACCTGCCTCTTGCGAACTGACCTTGTAACACGAATATTTATCCCTAACTATAGCGAAAAGTTGGACCATTTATAATAGTAAAATGATTATTGATAAAAGTCAAGTCTCTTTGGTGAAAGCAAATAAAAACATTAAAGTGAGACACGGCCCACCATTTAAATATCTTGCGTCAATTAGTTTAGTATAGTTATTATATATATATAAGGACTTTTCAAAACAAAATCTTTATAGGCGGGGTGATCGAAAAACTGAACCGATCCGAATCATTTTCGATAGCTCTCATTGTTGGGCGAGAAAACGTTATTGCGCCAACCAACTTTCATCATAGTATCTCAAAAACTGCGCCCTGTAGGCTGAATACAAGAAAAAAAGGGCGGACAAACGGACTGATCGTTCGAGATAATTGTAGTTGAATCTCTTTCAAGTCCTTCTGGCTATTGTTTACATATCTTTGTATTGCAAACGGTTTATGGTCTAATGACTTTGATCAGCTGACTAATACTATGTGTTTGTGTGTTATGTCAATTAGTGATTATTTACAGAGGCACAAAAGCCTGAAAGGATACCTTTTCACTATCTTAACAATGATGAATAAACGATGGTAAGAATGGTAAGAATTCTTAGAAATCTATAATGACTTAAGCGGACAGCCTAACATGCATACGTTACAACAGACAGTATGCGCGATTACATAAATGCGATTATTGACTTCAAGTCGTTACTGCTTGTTGACGAGCGCATAGAGCGCAATTGTAGCTCTAGAATGGGGGGAGGGGGGGGGAACTTGAACGTAAAATCATATTTCTTCTGCTAGACAAAGTGTTAGGGTCGTAGTCATTGTAGTCATGCATGTACAAACATGCATAAGGAATGCAACTATTCACGTGAATTGGTTCAGTATTGCTTTCACTTTTCTTACGAATCTCGATTCGATTGCCTCGAATCGAATCGAATCGAATTGATATGAAAAACATATGCGTATTATATTAAATCAATCCGTGACGGGTATTAAAAGAGATTCGTTTTTACGTTAAGGCATTAAATAATATTTTCGCATTTATTTTCTTGCAATTTTTGATATTTTTTAAAATAAATTGTTATTATTTGGCAGAGACACGCGTGAACGGTAAATTAATTTTCAATTCATTAGCTGAAAAGGTGAAATTCTAAATTTAATTTTACATTTTCTCTCGCCCAAGCAAATGACGGTCATTAATTTTTAGCATCATAACCCAAGTGAAAAAAAAAAACAACAACAACAATAACAACAATAACAACATAAATAAATAAATAAATAAAATAAAATAAAATAAAATAAGTAAATAAATAAATAAATGAAACGAAATGTGTGCGTAAATGTTTATAGTAAGTATAGTAAGTGTGCCTTTGATTATCATGTTCTTACAACAAATTAGCATTTTAACAACACACTCTGAATGTGATATCTCGCCTACCTAACGGGCAAATGTGAATGCCAATGACCACATTTTAGATCAGGGTACACACACAGAACGCTTTTGATGATGAACTACATTTTCTTATAATTAGGAACTATCGAGACGAGAAAAACCAAAAAAAAAAAAAAAAAAAATATTATTAGTTTAAGTGCATAAGCATTTCTATTTACATCTGTACTTATGTTTGTTCTCAGAGGCGTGTGTTAGATATCATTCATCTTATCTTACTCACACACTAACATTATACTTATATATTTTATTGTTCATTGATTATCTAAAAGATTTGCTTTAAGTTACATAGGATTTCTAACTTGATTAAATTATGCCTTTATTGCGTCCATGCACAATTAGAAGTGAAATCGCCGACAAATGTCGCTTTCATCGCTGTCATCGGCGATATTTATGCCTACATTTTATTAAAGCGCATACTTATTGAGCAGTACACATTTCAAACATAGGCGTATTTGTGTTTTCGAAAAGACAAAAAATTTACCTTACAAAAAGCCTTAAGAGATAAAACAAATAAGCGAAGACATCCGAGATGATTGCAAAATTACTACGGCGGAGTTTTTATTATTCAATTAAATTTTACCAAAAAAACAAACGAGAGCCCTTTTAATCAAATCCTCTCGATATTTGATTGGTAGGATTGGTAAAATTAATTCAAGACATTTCGCGGAAGTTCGATAGCCATACGATTTCCATATATATAATATATATCGATGAATACAAACGATTACAATCTCAAAATTTTATTCAAAATACCAAAATTGATCAATAGCTTCTTTTTTTATTACTCTCTCCAGATTAAATTCAAAAATTCCCCAATCGAAATAAAGGTTCGCCCACAATTAACAATCCACGGATTTAAAAATGCGTTTGTAAATAGAAAATGGCCGGCGAAACCCAGCAAAATGGATATGATTTCACATATCATTATATTCATAGAACGCTTATCGTGTCCTTTGCTGAGCGAAGGCAAAAAATATCCATACATTATGTCACATATCGTATATATATATATAGAATGCTGATCGTATCCTTTGCTGAGCAAAGTAAACATATACATACATTATGTCACATATCGTCCATTCATAAAACCTATATCGTATCCTTCTCCCAAGCTAGGGTTATTCGAAAACATTGAGCCTAAGATGGTAGCGCTTAGTCTAAAATATCGTTGCATACAAGTGTTGATTGGATTAATGAAATCAACAATAAGTTTTTACCTCTCGAAAGCTTTATGTCTATTGAAACTACGTAATGTACACATAAGTGAAAACAACGCATGTTTTCACCATGCATTTTATTGGATATATACATATATATATATATATATATATATATATATTGTTGTTTTTTTGTTGTTGTTGTTTTTGTTTTGCTGTTTTTTTAAAATATTTTCTTTTTTTTTTTTTTTTTTTTTTTTTTTTGGTAACATAAGTTGCATTTTTACATTGACATATTTTGTTTTTTTTGTACAGAGTTTTGTTAATGCCATCAGACAGTGAGATAAACAAGAAATTATTTATGAAAAATGGTTTTTATTAAGGTGTGATTTCAATGATAATGAAAAAAAATTCTAAAAAATATTGAAAGACAAGGAAAAATTTATAAATTGCTTTATACAATCTTTTACTCACACACACTTTAGTTAGTTTTTTTTTTTTATTTTTTACATTTGAAAATTCCCAAGTAAAATAATTAGATTCGGTCGTGACCGAATCTTTTATACCCATCATAATCTCCATTTTCGCAAATTTTTGTATTGGTGCCACAGCAGCACCCATAGAATATGTACATTTATCGGCTATAGTTTTATAAGCAATGAAGAAAAAACCAATTTCTGTTTGCAAGACAGAGGGGTTCTTAGTTTAGGCTGTGGGCGTGCCCTTCGACCAATTTGACACATTTTCAATACCAACCTGCGTACAAGAAATTCCAATCTTTACAACAGACATTGCACAGGCGCGACAGACGGACACGCTTAAATCGATTCAGTATTTGATGCTGATCAAGAATATATAAATAACGTGTGAGCACATCACTAATGCATCCGTAACCGAATAGGCTAACGGAGCTTATGCCATGTAGAGAGTTAGTTCAGTGTAAAGATGCCATCACGTGGCAAAGATAAACTAATCGATTTAATTTAAGTACGACGTCGGTAATACGCGCGGATTAAAAAATTCATAGTTGAGCTTACATTGGCTAAGTTTTATTAAGCTCTTGCATGTATTTTGATGATGTTTTAACTCGAAAAATGTATTTATTAATACAAATTTGGTGCAATGGTGTATGCTAATCAAGATATTTTCCACCATTTTCTGCAATTATACACGATACCGTGTCGAGAGAATGCCATTGGTTTGGCGGCGTTCCAATCATCGGCTCATTTTCGCACTCTTCGGTATTTCGAAATCGCATGTCAGTCAAGCCATGCTGCATCGATCTAAACAAGCGGTAATCATAAGGCACTATCTCTGGAGAGTAGGCCGCGTGCCACGAGGAACTCTCCATTCGAGCTACAGCAATACATCCCTGAGAATCTTGAAATGTATGGCTGAGCGATATCACGCCGGAGCATGATTTTGCGTCCACATCGTTTAGTTCGTTCAATTGACGTCGGCAGGCATCTACAGTAATAATGGCTTTTGGTTTTAGCAGCTCGTAAGACACTACACCTTTCTGATGCCATCATGGCCACAAATATTGCGCTTCGGTATTAATGTGAATGGCTCTCCTGGGCTAACCCGTAGTCACAGTTCGTCACCGAAACGCTCTCTTTGTGTGCCTAGCAAGTAATGAAACTGTCATATTGAGATAATTCGAAATTTCAGTCAATTCGTATGGTTAGCTGTGTTCCTCCGTTTGGATCTTTCCCATGCACATACATGCAAACGTACCGAAACAGTTGATTCATGAACTGCTAAGCTGTTCGAAGGCTCTTTGCGAGTTTAAATTGGGTTTTCGTCCAAAGCAGTCGTGCAATCCATTGCCATCGAAATGTTTTCGTACTCCAGGGAGTTCTTTGTCCTATGTGGGTCAAACTCATCGAATTTACTGGTTGTGTACACATACTTGGCATTTTTTTAGCATTTCACAACCAAATATATGTCGCTGATCAAAATACATGCAAGCAACGATTATAAAAAAGGATACGTTTCTTGACCGGCTTCTTCTTCCTAACGGAGATTACAAATTGTTATGCTAAAAAACGATGTCTTTGTAATTTCAAAAAATATTAGTTTCCCAAATGATCCCCTAAAGATTAATACGATTTACTTTGCCAGAGAGATAGTCTAAGTAAGTTTTTGTAAATTTTCTATCCGTTTTCGATTACAGAGTCATTTATTCTTTGTGATGGAATATTTGAACGGTGGTGACTTAATGTTTCATATACAAGAGAGCGGACGCTTCACGGAAGAGCGGGCCCGATTTTATGGTGCCGAAATTATATCAGGTCTAAAATTCCTTCATAAAAAGGGTATAATTTATAGGTAAGTAAATTTTAATAGAAAATAAGTTAATAAATATATATTATTAAGTTATTAATAATTGTTACAATTGAACCAGAGACCTCAAGTTGGATAATGTATTGCTAGATTATGAAGGCCATGTACGTATCGCTGATTTCGGTATGTGTAAACTACAAATATATCTCGATAAAACAGCAGACAGCTTTTGTGGTACACCCGATTATATGGCGCCTGAAATTATTAAGGTTTGTTTCGCCTTTTTCAAGTCTCCCTATCTCTTACAAAAAAGTAATAATCAAAAAAAAAAAAAAAAAAAAATTAAAAATAGGGCGAAAAATATAATCAAAATGTTGATTGGTGGTCGTTTGGTGTTTTACTATATGAAATGCTGATCGGGCAATCGCCATTCAGTGGCTGCGATGAAGATGAACTATTCTGGTCTATATGTAATGAAATTCCATGGTTTCCTGTCTATATATCTGCCGAAGCTACCTGTATCTTGAAAGGGGTAAAACACAATCAATCAATTAATTAATTAATTCTTTAATTTAATTTATACAATAAATTTCTCCTTTCCTCCATTTCATTGCCGCATAGCTACTGGAAAAAGATTATACGAAACGTGTAGGATCTCACTATAGTCCGGCTGGAGATATATGCGGCCATATTTTCTTTAGACCAATCGACTGGATTCTATTAGAAAAACGACAAATTGAACCACCATTTAGGCCACAAGTTGTAAGTATCATTAATATATATATATATATATATATTGTTATTTTTGTTGTTGTTTGTTTTTTTTTTTTTTTTTTTTGGCAGAAAATAAACATAAATTTTCTTTTTTTTTATGATATTTTATAGAAACATCCTTTGGATACTCAATACTTTGATCGTGTTTTCACACGGGAACGTGTACGTCTAACTCCTATCGATAAGGATATATTGCAGTCTATGGATCAGAAACAATTTCTGGGCTTTACGTATACCAATCCGCATATAACGTTAGATTAAGAAAGAATTTTAACAAGAATTGATTCACTATAATGAATCCTTTCTTATACGCTACGTTTTTTTTTTTTTCTCTCTTTTTTGTAAATTTTTTTTTATCTTATTTTTCTTCTTTTTGCTTTTTTTTAATTTTTTGCTCTGCTTATAAATATCTGTCTTAAAAAAACCAGTATTTATATATAAAAACATTGTTTAAACTGTAGCTGATATATATATATATATATATATATATATATATATATATATTAATATGTTTTATTTTATTCATATACATATGTTATTTATATATATATGTTTAATATATATATATGTATATAAATTATTTATATATATATTATATTATTTTTATTATTATTAAAATTTAATAGCAATTAAATGATATAAATACTTTCGATGTATCTATCTATCTATCTATCTATCAAAGTTTAATATATTATAGATTTTTTATATCCGTCAACAAGGGATTGAGGCATCATAATTTTGCCATTCCATTGCACCGGACACCTCATTTTGTATGTAGAAGAAGACCCATGATCGACCTGAGCGAGTATTGATGCTAAATTTTCCTAATTTTCTCGTCTTCTGTCAAGTCCCTTTTTAAAATTCTAAAAATCAAAGTAAATAATTAAAACCCAATCTAATTTTTTTTTTTTTTCCAATATGACTAATCATTTGGGAGATGTTCCCTGTACGTGTACAGGAAAGAGAGCTGCTTGTTTGACCAATCGGCAAGTGTTATTTATAATCCTTTACCGACTGAACACTGACGACTGACTACACCTACGACCGAAGAAAACACTACCGCATTGAGATTTGAATCCGCGAACGGACACTGACTTCATAATTGCGGCTCCTACCTATTCGGCTTGAAGAAAAAAAAAAAAACAGTATCATCGACAAGTACGCAAAATTTTACTTCATACAACGCTTTCGCTGTCGAAAGTTAATATCGAAAGAGTAATCGAAATTTTTCCGATGATTTTCCCGACGCGAAATAATAGGCGGACAGAGGACAATGATTAAATTAGTTAAAGCATCTCACTGACCAGTGTTTGTCATTGTTATAAACGGAATGGTAAATTTAGTATACCTCTAGCATTCGATGTTGGGTATAATGAAGCATTAGTTTGTTAATAAATTTAATTAAGTTTTTAATTATGATTAGAAGATAGTCTAAAGAAAAAAGAAAACCTAAATAAAAAACCTTAAATTTTAAATTTAGAACAATGGATCCATTTTTGAACGTTATTTCTCATTGTTAAAACAGTAACAGCAACCGGAAAGGCTGCCTATTGAAAGAAATATACAAGGATAAGGTAATAATGTACTTCAGTCATTTTGATGAGCTTTCCACATGTCTCCTCGAGGACGATAAGCAAGTTGCATTCTTATTTTTGAGATAACTGTACGAAGATCGAGAGATAAGCAAGAGTCGTTAAACGCTTCCAGCAGTTTTCTTTCAACTTCTGCCGAGTCATTAAATATATATATATATACGATGTGTCTATTGTGGAAAACTCGTTTCCCTTAAAAAAACAAAATCCAAGCAATTCTTTAAAATCGCTACAGCGATCGGACGGTACAGTCAGTAGGCAAAAGAGAGTGCAGAACAAAAGAAAAAGAATGCCTCAGTCACAACGCACTGTTGGCGAAGCATAGTGCACTCCAGATTCGAAACTGGCCAAGAATTCCTATACCTTATTAGGTTTTTGATTGAAGCTTGTTTCGGCGCCTTTCGAAAAAAAAATTAAATTTTAATACACTGCAATGTTAGATAGGCGTAGCCTATTTTTTCCCATTTTTCTACAGTTGCCACAGCATCGCCCATTGGATATGCATTTAAATTTTTATCCTATAAGTAATGGCGATGGTGATGGCAATGGTGATGGATACAAAAAGAATCTTAAAATTACGCAATTAACGGGTAAGCATAAGATATGTGATGGGAGTAAAGGGAATTCAACAACATCATGTCACGCTACTCGAGTTTATTAAAACATTCACACGTTCGACTATGGCTTGGATGCCACTAAGTATATGAAGATTGATCTCATAGTTAGTCATTAATATCTTGTTTTATGCTTTCTGCACTTGATGTGAAATTGCGAATGAAACCGGAACATGCCGGACATGCATACTATGAAATCTCCCGGAAGACAATCTTAGCTGGAATGGAATGATGATGAAATGATTAAAAATCATTTGAGGGCAAGTTCGTTGTCCCAAAAGCAGTTTGAATGCCTCGATCGCGATAGATAACATTATGTCGCTCCGGCTATTCACACCGACCTCGATACTTGAGATGTACTTAAAAGTTTTCGATTTTTATTCCTATGAAGTTACAATCGTTTTGCTGACCTAAAACTTTCCTAAGGCCTGTATATGCAAAACTGGAATACTACGGCAATTTGTTCTCAGTAACGTTTTCATTTATATATAATGAGCCAACCACCTAGGAACGATGCTTGCAAAAGATATTTCAATATATGTATTACGCAATCCGTTATGTTATTTGTTATAAAAACATAGGACAAACGACTAAAAATTTTCAGTACCATAGGGGTAAGGCCATGTATAGGGTGAAGAGAGCAAACCTCAAACGGCTACTAGCTTGAAGCTAAAACCTAACAAATATTGATGATAAAAAGAACACTGCTAGCTAAACTAATCTTTTGGTGTTCTTCAGCGTCGTCTTGTACAATCATTACCGATAAAATTAATGTTAACGTTAAAAATAAAAAAAAATAATAATAATTTCTTACTTACTGGTAAGACAGCCGACGACGTTCATAAAGACGACGATCAAGATATTGATTCATGAGAACTCTGATGATAGTCGGATAGATAATTATAGCCATCAAGATATGAACAATGATAAACTTGTAGATGGAACAAGATGGGAAACAAGATCGTAGAGGAAATTATAAAATTAAAAATGCAAATCATCCAACAGAGTCCAACAGAGCTTATAAGCGATTTGAAACGCAATGAATTCACCTACGTAGAACACGACCGACTATGATTTAAAGAGAAATGGAAGAGTAAAAAATGTGACAATTGTAAATGATCATTGTTACAATCATTATTGTCATCATCATCATTATCATTATCGTCATTAGACAAAAGATTGATTTTATTTTAAAATCATTTCTTCAAAATATTTCAAATATCAAATTCCATATTCCATGATTATAGTGACGCACAACATCGAAATGGATATAAAATGATGAAAGGGTTCGATAATCATGAGCACTGTCGCCGACGCCATCGAAGACATAATGGATGCATTTTTATCAAGAACATACACATTTACTTGATAAAAATGATCACTTCTTTGGTCATTTTATGCCGCAACATTCGAAAACTTGGAGATAATTAAAAATTTTTAAGTTTTTAAATTAATAATTCCATTTCATTTCTAGTGATGTAGGATGTAGGCATAACTTAATTAAATTGTGGGAAGAAGAAAAATTTCGAAAACTTTCACAATAAAATCTTTATTTAATTAACGAAAACGATGTCTGGCGTTCGTCTTACAATTTCATTCAATTATTCGCTACGGTGTTCATGTAATGATTTTTCAAAGAGAGGCGTGAATATGGGAAGTGATCAAAACAAAAATTCGATCTGAACCATTTCCAATCCAAGGTTTCGTCTTGGATTGAACACAAGAACACAAGTCCGGACAGATGGACAGATGGATAGAAAAGCTTAGATCGATTCGGTAAATAGTTGTGCTTTCCGATCGGTATAATAAAGGGCAGATCTATTTCAAGTCTTGCGGATTGTTGGTGCTAAAAACCATAATAGCTATAGAAGAGCTGATATAAATTCATAGGAACCTTAATACGCCCCTAATGAATGCATTGCGTTTAAACCAGTTAACTGTGCATGATGAATGCATACATCAAAAATCGTCCATCCGTCCCTGTCGGACTGCCCCCATAAAAGTTGATCATGATATGAATTTATCTCTCCACCATGATAATGTATTTCAGAAAATATGTTTGCCGCTTTGTCAAGATTCATTGCATATTTAATTGCATATCACACGTCCTCTGTGTTTGAGGAGTATACGGAATCTCTCTTTCTCCCTTCCCTCTCTTCTACGTTCATTCGTTTATATTTCATTATATGCTATCGTCGCAGTTTTAGACGGACGACTCGAGATTTCCCTACTATTGGAAATGAAAGGCAAGCCCCAATCGTGGAATTAGTAGTGGTAGGTAGTGCGCTTTCACGCTGTTATTCGCAAATACAATACAATATCGTGTATATTACTTGTTTTTTTCTTTTTTTTTCTTTTTGTTTTATTATCATTGTTATTATTGCTGCTGTTCGTTATGAATATTAAAAAAATGTAATAAATTGTATTAAATATGTATTATATACTTATCATAAGCTTGAATTAAAATTAATTTTTTGTCGCTTTGTAAATTATGTTAAATTTAATTTTAAAAAAATAATAATAATAATAATAATAATAATTTTTTAGCATACGCACTAAAATCAGGTTTCGTTTTCATTTAAATAAAATTGGAACTAATTAACATAATAAAACTCCTAAAAGAAAAACTCATTCAGTTTGTTCGCAAATGTTAACAAATATATTTAAGTACAATAAAGACCTCTTTCCTCTTTTTCCAAATGAAAATATAATTGTAATAGGCGGGCAAATGAGCGGTGTTATGCAAAAATAATTGAATCAATTCCGTAAAATGCAATTTTTTCCTTTACTTTTTTTTTTTTTTTTTTTTTTTTTTGATAAAATTTTTATAGACTAACTACAGTTAAATGAAAAGGGGAGGATAAATTATTATATGAAGATGTTTTTCTTTTTTTTTTTTTGTTTAAATGTGGCCACAAGTAATTTAGGTAATAATATATATGTGTATGATTACCATAATAATGTAATCGTTAATTAAAACTAATCTTAAAAGAAAAATTATTTTATTTCTTTAGGTAGGGGAAAAATAAAAAAAGGTATATATAAATATAAAGTTGAGATAGATAGTCAAGTAAAGGATTCAGTTTAATAAATAAAACGCAGAAATGCTTGCATTGCAGCAACAGTTTGCTTACAACGCATTTTGCCATACATTAGATATTTGCTTTCAATGGAAAAGTAAAATCTATTCTATGGTTTGATATTTTGTGATATGTTCATAAAAAACAAATTTAAATATTATGGTCGCGCAAGGCGGACCATTAAATACCCTACACGACCTCGTCGCAATATGTTATGCAATTTTCAAATTTCATTTTCATTCATTTATTTAAATTCGCACGACATACATAGATGCATTGGTATAAGTCAATCATGTGCATAACAAGGGCTAAGGGATTATCAAATAAATGAGCTATCAGCCTAAGAGTTCGATATACGAATAATTGATAAAAAAAAAAAAAAGGCGGTTCCTACTCGATCTCGATAACTGTATGCGTTCGATTAGAAGAAGCGCTAAAGGCACTTATGAGAGAACGATTTTATAAGGCCTAGATTAGCAGCCTAAATTTTCTTAGTAATCATAGAAAGAGAATTTCGGGGAAAAACATGAACGAAGAAGGAAATATGCTCTCTCGAGTCTTACAGTATACACAAAGCCTGTAATGCTGCTGACAATCAGTTTAATTTGTATAAGAAGTAAGAATTTTAACCGATGAAAAACTTCTTTTTGAAGAGATCTTTTATGAATAAGAAAACGTGAACTGAGTGACAAGTCATGGAAACTTTGTTTGACAAATAATGGCTCTATTTGTTAATTATTTTCATCACTAGGTTTAGTTTTCATAAAGACGTGATTTTCGGAATAGACATTCATCATGGCCCAATTTTCGGGGAACAAAATGAAAAAAAAAAAAAAAACCATAAAAATTATGCAATCGAATCTATACTTCACTGGGCTCGTATTTCTCGATGCTGCACAGATATGCATAAACAATAGACTTTTGCGGTAAGTAGTGTAAGGTGTAGCTGACGGTTTACTACGTGATTAGTGCAAAAATATAGAGTTGTTATTATTGTTTTATATAAAAATATATTACAAATGTTTTACATGACTTATTTTACAAATTAAAAATTTAAAAAAGTTTCACTTTAGTTTAACTTTTAAGTACATTTTTTTTTTCGCTTAAAAAGTTATAATTGGAGCTTTATAGTTTTCTCCTTAATTAAAATTGAAATGTTGTTATGTAGAGACACGGGGAGGGGATTTGCGTTAAAATCACTTTTACTTTCACATTCATATTCACTTTCATTTTTTCTTTTTTTTTTTTTTGGTTTTTTTTTTTTTTGTTTTCGTCTTTATACTGAAACTATTTTTTATACGAACATCATGAAAGGCACTTTTCCCAAAAATGTCAAATGAAAAATAAAAGATATTTGAAGGGAAAGACTAAGAGCTGAAGGTGAGAGAAAAGATCTTACTGATGAATTTTAGGAGCAGGTAAGAAAGCTATGTCCGCCTTAGGGCGATACTTGGATAACCATCACCTAGGAGGGCTGTTCTTGTTTCTCTTGCGAATGATAGTAAATTCGATTTTAGTCACGATCCCGATAAAAAAAAAAAAGAAGAAAAAAAAACATTTATGGGGATCGGGGATTTCTCTGTAGTAAATCGTGTAGGTTATTATTATTAATGAAAAAATGAACAAATATTTCAGTTTTAAATAATTTGTTTAGCGTGAAAGCAATTGAGTAATGTATTGATTTGAAATTGAAAAATTTCCATCTCACGGCTTACGATTTTTTGAGATTTTCAATAAGAGGGGTGATAGAGAAACAAACATGCAGTGCAAACCATGAATACACGAATTTCATTCTAATTCAAAATCTGAGACCTTTGTCTACACTGTAGAAAATTATTGCATCGTGATATAGGTGATGATGGATATGGAAATTGCGAAATATGGGAATGTTTTTTTTTTACAATTTTGTTAATTAACATTTTCTCCTTGCTTCTGGAAGATGATTGCTACGTTTTTGGCAGTTAATTAAATACTCTTTTCACTTAACATAATTTTATAGATCAAGCTTCAGTAGGAAATTTGCTGCCTGCAGCTAAGCCAATTGAAAGGGAATTTACAAAAAATAATAATAATTGCAAAATATATATAAGAAATAGAAATGAAATAACTAACATGTAACATTTATGTAGAGACATGGAAAACTTGTTATAAAATAAAAGAAATGTTAAGCAAAACAAAAAACACTCATTCACATGAAAACACATGAAAATGTGATAGCAATAAATTAAAAATATGTGAAACGAAAAAAAAAATGTGCTTGAAAGACAGAGAGAGTAAGGAACAATGTTAGGGCTATAATATAAGTGCCGAAGTGAGTATTTTTATATATTTACAATCATATTTTGTAACTGTGTTAGCGTTGTCGTGCCAAAGTGATTACTTTCGGGCAAATTACGTATTTGCAAAAGCCATCTTTGACATTCCAAACATTTACGATGTCGTTCCTCACGTGTAACATCAACGCCTAAACCATTAACCCAAGGATCAAGATTGTCCTGTATGATGGGCAAAAAATTCGAAAGTATAACACGCAAAGTATCACAAGCACGGGTGTAATGACTGCAAAATTAAAAACAAATCATTTAAATGTGAAAAAAAATTAAATAAATCACCTCTTAAATAATATCTTCTTACAATTTATGTTGACTTTGTAATAATTCAAATATTTCCGGTAACAATAGCATACACAAATCCAAATTCCAAGAAGAACTAAACAAAAAAAAAAAAAAAAAAAAATTTTTTTTTTTTTAAATATATATATATAAAATGAATATTTGAAATGACTTTATTAACACTAACGTTTTCTCCAATATAGCCCCAAGTAAATCCACAAATACTGTGCGTCCCATTTTAATGGCCTGCTTGAGCGCTCCCATGATATCGTGAGATCTATATTCAACAAAAATATTTGTCATAAATTAAAAGGAAATTGCATTCAACTCCATCTTACTTAACGTATATAACTAACTGCAAGCTTAACATCTTCAAATTAGTTTAAGCATTGCGAACATATCCATACTTACAAATAAGTAGCAATACTATAAAGGGCCAAGGGGTCACCATTAAGTATTCTACACCACCCTGTTGTTATTCATTTAGGGACTTTTCAAAATAGGGCGTCCAGAAAGCGGTCCGATCTGAACCATTTTCATCGTAATGTACGAGAGCTTGGGACTTGTAGGTTGAACACAAAAAAACAAAACGAACAGGACAGGACAGGACAGACAAGCTTGGATCAATTAAGAATATGGTTGTGAATCGATCGATATACCAAAAGCAGAGTCTGTCTCAAGTTATCCGCACTTTTACGAAAATCGGTGTATGAGCAAAAAAAAGCCTCAACGTATAAATTAAGCTAAACGTTGGACTACGAATGACAGAATTTCAAAACAATTTTTGATCTTCTCAGCAAAGATTTATTAAAGTCCTTAAAAGAAAATAGAAAGAGAATCGATTCTGTTGTATAGATTGTTAAAAAAGAGGCATATATTGAGTCGGACGCACTCACACGTGGAGTGAATAAAAATGAAAATTAAAAGTTCGAAAAATTAATTTATCCGTCTGTACGTCGCGGATATAAACATATATGTTCTTAAAATTTCAAAACATATTTCATCCCGCTCTAAGTGAAATATCTGCAAACGGAAAGTACAGTGTCGAGTATTCTATCCGGTTATCGTTAGGAAACTACTCGTAGGTTCAATATACAATGTTACAAAACATCTTCGATCCAAATTTCTATACGTTTTGAAAATTTAACAAACTTAAGATATCTAGTGTAGTGAGTGTGATGAAGAACAAAAAAAAAAAAAAAAAGGAATAGATTTTTATATCGTCACTGTGGCTTACCTCGTGGAATTCCTGATTATTTGTAAAGTGGCGTGACGATTACTTAACTCTTGATAGACTTGCTCGTGCGTGGCCGAAAGCATTTCAATTTCTGGACTGTCATCCATATGTGGACGAGTATTAAAGCTTTTTGTGTTAAGAGAAGACTGTGTAAGTAGTGCAGGATCTGTGCGATAACTGACGGGTATCTATAAAGAAATTCAATTAATTCACCACCGAACAAAAACGGTATTAAAAAATACCATAAATAAAAATTTAAGCAATATTTATATTACAATAAAATAACAAAAAAATACACACATTTGCTGAACCATTACCAGCATCGCTGATGTAACTAGATAGACGCTAAGAAAATTAAAGGGAAAGAAAGAGAACAAAGCAAAAGATTCGTAAGAACCTCTACCGCTAGCTTAAAGCGAATCGAAAAAAAAAAAAAAAAAAAAAAAATACTGTCCATGCAACTCACATGCGTTTGTCTGTGACCTGGCCCTGTTCCAGCCGAAGCTGTTTGCTGCTTTTGAGCCGATCGCAATTCCAATGAGGTTTTTGAACGCGTAGGAGCTTTTGTTATAATTTGGACAGTTATCTGATTTTTATTCCGAGCATTCTCTTTATTGAGGTGCGCTTTGTTCTTATTCACGACCATATGAGAAGAAGCTGACTTTTTAATTAGCACATTGTCATCCAGTTTATGTAAATCCGTTGTGCTAACCGACGATACCTGAGACAATTTATTGCGCTGCTGTATGGTGTTTACAACGGTGGATTTAGTATTCGCCTGGGTAGTGGTGCGCTTTGTTATATGTGATGTGATTTTTGGTTTAACAGTTTTAATGGGCGGATGAACATGAGAGTTTGTTGAATTTGGATTTGCGTTCGTTGCATGATTTGAAATACTTATAGACGGCTGTTGATGCAAATTCGTATTAACGGGGAAATCTTCGACCATTTCAGTATGTTCGTAATTTGTAATAACGGGCGGAAAGCTTTCATTAAAAGTTATCTCTGATTCCGGTGTAAATGGATCATCGAAACTTTCATATTGATATATAGCGCTACGTTCACCGGACATTTTTAACGAACTGGGCCCATCAAAATTCAAGGTACCCAAGCTATTTCCACCAAATGAACTGTATGCTGTGCTGGAAGATATGGAAGGAAACTGATAAGGCGGTGACGAAACTTGTTTGGGCGGTGGCACGTTAATGCTCATCGACGAATAATTGGAATCGAATTCTCCATAATTACTATTAAAAGAGCCATTAAGCGATGTTGGAGGAACGGGTATGCGAGCAGGATCTAGAACCGGCTCATCGACCAACTCTAAACTGAGATTGGGCGATGAATGACCATCTAAACTAGGACTGCGATTGTCCTCATTCTCTTCTACCAGCCGCGATTGCTTTGGACCACCAATAGAAAGACGCAGCTTTTGATTACCACGCGAAAAACTCTTGCGAGTGGTGGAATTGTGTACAAAAGCTGCTGGTGTATTGGAGGGATTATAAAATGGAAATACACGATTCACACTCAAGGCATCAATTGCTACATATTCTTGCTCAAAGGAACCACATATCTAAAATGTAAGAGTGTTAAATTAATAAACAATTTTTACGAAGAGAACACAAATACTTTGTAAAAAACGACTTACTAAACGTCTATTAACTATTTTCATATCACCAAAATTGGACCAAGAAGATTTAATGTGATCAAATTCACGATCTGGTTCCCAGCCTATAATCGAAATAGCCACTCCTGTACCCACAAACAAACATTCACCATTCTCACTGAAATCAATTAAGATATTAAGATAGATTTTAAAATAAAATGATTTTGAAAACTAACCTAAAAGTAATACACTTGATGGGATTGCCATAGAATAGACTAGTAGCGTCTGTACGTGTTACTCGTAATTGTGTTTCCAGATCGTAAATGCAAATGGTACCATCCATCCGACCAACAGCCAATAAAAATTCGAACGGATGAAATTGTATACAACTGATGGCGGCAGCTGCCGGCTGTTCACAAAATTCCATAATCTGTTTGCTCTTCCGTATATCCCAAATGATTACGGAGCCCTCGGTACCGGCTGAGGCTATCCATAAACCATCTGGTGAAAATTTCACTGAGTTAACATGAGATATATGACCACGGTAGACTTTCATGCACACATTTTGATTACGCACATCCCAGAGTCTAAAACAATATAAGAAATTGCAATATGAGAAGAAATTACTCTTTTAAGTTGTAATCATTGGTTATTACTAAAAGGCCTATTGAAACGTATTAAGCTGTTGGCTTCTTCTATAATAGTTGTATTTACTGGACATATAAACTCCGCTTAGAAAGAACAAATAGTCTTTTGGGGCTATCCATAAAAAGTATTCTCACAAAATCTGAAACCGCCGCCCACATAAGCGGTTCGTCGCACATAAAGACAATTGATAATCAGTTCTGTGGAATAAGTTAATGAAATATTATATCCCAGCTCGGCGCCCCACTGACGGGTGCTTTGCTCAAAAAATCACTTAGCTGGCATATTGATGCCCTTTCTACCTTACTGATTATTAAGTTTATAAAACAAATATTGTTTTCTCCTCTCTGTCTCTGCTGTCTCTATTGATATCTTTAGTAAGACTTGAAAAATATCACTGATATATAAAATTTTATTTGAAATTCTTCGGTTTAAATTCAAATACGGGTGATTACCATTGCAGATAATCGTATACGATTTCAAACTTTGAATTTATTAAACCTATAGTGAGTATCGATTTTAATTGAATGGATTTCCACGTTGAGAGAATAGAGCGAGCGAACTTAGGACTTCAATAACATATCTAATGGTATTTTCTTAATTACATTTGTTATAATTGCAATATTCAAGTCCCTGTGTACCATGTACGGGATAATTGTTATCGTGTGTAAGATCTTTATCTCTTCATCTGTTAGGTGGTACCCTTTTTTTAAGTAGCTAATCATTCAGGAAGCGTCGCCTACACTTGCATAAGCACGGCGAATATCAGAAAGAAAGAAGTAAGGAAAGAGGAAAATGATGTATACTATACCCGTTCGGCAAGCCTTGCGGCCATACGCCAATCATAATATAAGTATAATCGATCTCACTGAGAACTTAACTCAGGCAAACCGACTTGATGGTCATGCTTCTTATCTATAGTGCTCAACGTTACACAAAAATGCATTATTCTTGTCAATATAGGATTAATACTGTAGTTCATTACAATTGTCTTGAAAGTTGTCTAAATTATCTCGTGTTCCCAATGAACTTTGACTATCATAACTTTTGATTTAACTTTTAATTACACTTCACGTGATTATAATTCACAAGTGCGTCAATATTCTGTTATTTTTTCACGTACGTTCTTGCATTGGATTTATTTCTAGAACGAAAGAATTTGACAATAGGTTTTAGAGGAACAAAAAGAGAAATTTATATAAATGACAATTTATATAACGTCAATAACAAAAAAGGGAAATATTGAAGAAGAAAATTTTGAACACCAAAAATGGAAAGCTACATAAATGCAATGTAAGGATGAAGAAAATTTGGGAAATGAAAACGAGATGTTAAATATTTTAAACCAGGAGAGAAGGAAGAGAACTTTCGTTTCATTAAAAAATTAATAAGTTGATATAAAACTAGTCAAAGCATTAATAAAACGAAAATCCCGTAATATATTCCATTAATTTAAACAGTAACGTCTTTTAATTCAATGATTTCGTGGACGTTAAGCCATCTTGCTATAATAACGATTTGATTTTAATATTAATGGTTTCTAACGTGATTTCTTCATTACTACAAATTTTTGTTATTTACCAACTAATACAAGCAGGCACATTGTCGGATTTGCTTTTGTTATTTTTACACAGTTTTGAAAATCCCTTTTCATAAAGTTAAACTCCTGCAATTTCTATTTATTTTATAAAATATTTGATTTCCATTTTATAATAGCAACATTATAGTTCATCGATAGTTGTGGCGATTGTCCCCCTTATCGTATTGCCAAATTGATTTTGTTTTTATTAGTGGTGCCATACGGTTACAATAATAAACACTAATCACATAAAATCAATTATGAACCGAGAGCGGTAATCACGTATGAAAAATCTAGCTTTCGCCTTTGTATTCAGTTATTTGGCAAAAAGGGCACAATACAAAAGCGAAAGCTATCTTTCAATTACCTGATAATCCGCTTATAAGAAAATAAAACCCTGTTGTCAGAAATAATGTATTGTCACGTTTTAGGTTGTGTATAAAGATACCAATTATGCAATGAAACATTGTCTTTACAATGCTGATATTTATACGTAGATTTTTTATGATTTTGACTTTCTCGGAAAACAACGCAGTATCTGCAAACTATTAAGATATTCAGGATTGATTTGAAATTAAATACTTTTTCGTTTTTCTTTTTTTGATTATAAATTTTGATCATAACGGCTAATAATTATACCATAAGTTTTAAATTTTAACAATTTAATAATATTAAACTGGCAGCACTGAAAAACGAGA